AAAATCAAAATAATTAGTTTTAATAACGGTTTTACAGTCTTATTATAAGTATTAACAATTGCATAGACAACACCGCTATTGTTGTTTATTTTAATATAGCATACGACTGTTCCGCTATCGAAAGTGTCGGACCTATTATGACGGGCGATCTCAGAGCGTTTTAAGGAGCGCTATGGTAGCGATCTCATAGCATTTAACGGCCGCTATTAAAACCCACATTTCTTGTAGTGTAGAGTCTTAGTTTGATAGTCTCCTTCTAGAGCTTTCCACACGGCTAAAGCTGTTGTCTCTCTCATGACTTTTCGTAAGACTATATTGGTCAAGCTTGAACATATCAGATTCTTGGCTTGAGTATCTTTCTCTTTTTCTAGAGGATCTTTCTTAGCAATGACCTCATCCTTAGGGCTCGAGTATTCATCTTGCTTAGTATCCTTGATAACTTCTTCATTAAGAACGTTTCCAAGACCTTGAAGTTTAAGTTGCATTAGCATCTTAAACTTCCACATTCTAAAATCACCAGAACCATCGAACTTCTCCATCACGAATTTAGTATGAACCGACTCCATCGAGATCTGTCAACAATCACAGAATCCAAAACACACACAGCCAACCACCAGAATACCACATATCAGATCGAGAATCTCAGAGATGAGAACCTGACTCTGATACCAATTGTTAAGAACAGAGATTCACTTCCGATTTATCTTAAACCGTATTTTTGAATTCGATTGTTGTTAGTTTCAATTGCAATTTGTGATTAAGGTAAAGCACTAGAGAACACGAGAATTGTTTACCCAGACTTCGTTTCCTACTGTCTGGGGAGAGATCAAAACTCTAAAACTTTTCCACTGTTGATCGATGTGATACAATATGGAAATGGATACCGAGATTGATATCGTTTGTTTCGTGTGCAACTATTACAAGAAAATACACGAAGCGATTACTGGAGAAGAGTATCACAACGACGAGGACGACTTACTGTCTGTCTCTAAGCCTTCCAATGACAAAGACTAGTAGCATGAACCGGAGAAAGAGGAGAGATCTCAAGAGAAATGAACACTAGTGGATCTCTCTATCTTGATCTTTCTTTCTCACCAGTTGTAATTGTATCTCCTTTATCTCGTTTTTTTCTCTGTGTAATTCACGCCACCGAACTTCTTTGTATTCAACTCGTTGATATACTGAGGAAGAAAAAGATGGTTGTTACACGGGATCAGTTTCCAGTTCATCGAGAGATTTAACTTGAGTGGGCTCTAAACGGGCCATCACTCTTTTTTCTTCTTTAAAGAACTAAGCTACTTGAAGCCCAATGACCAAAACGACACAACATTCACATCTTTTTCAAGTGGGCAGAAACATACATGCTTCAATCTCTTGATCGTATTTTTCTTCATCGATTTCTCTCTGTGCCTTCTTGCTTTCGCTACCTCTCTTCTGCAATCCCACTTTGCTCCCATCGTTATGTTGCTCTGAGATGGTTTTTGAGGTTGTAGAAATTAGGATTTGTATGTCACAAAGATCAAATCAAGGTAGCGTTATCAATGGTCTCACGAAGAAGCTGAGTTGGAGAAGAGAGAGAGAGAGAGTGCGCACCATTTAAACCTTGCAAGGGTGTTATAACTTACTGTGCTTAAAAAGGCTCATTAGTTTAGTTAAAAAGCCCATTAGTGTGAATATAAAGCCCTAATTTAAATAAAGTGCTGTTGACATAATATATTTCTTCTCTTTTATTTACAGCTACCGAATAAATTTTCTCCGGCCGGTGGGTGTTCGAGATCAGATCATCAGCTTCTCTGGTCTCCGGTCAGTTAATCTTTTTGATTCTTACATCTCAGCCTATCAAACGCCGTAGCTCCATCTTATTCGCAAATTAAATTTTAGTGTAGATTTGTTCATAATCTTAGGGTTTTGTAAATTTTATCGTTGGTAGTAGTGTCTAATCGATCAAAAATCTGAATGGTTATGAGCAATTTGTGCTTTTATTATTTCAATTTTCTTTTTGATTGATATCAATTTTTCATCAGATCTCACTTTCTCAGTGCTTGAGGATTTGCAAAGAGTATCCAGCTGAGGTTTTCAACAATGGTAAATTTCGATCCATAGCTATGTGATATACTCTACAGAATTGTAAACAATGTGTGTGTTGTGTTAAGACTACTGTGAGATTCTTTGTTCGGTGTTTACTAAGTTTTGATTCAGCATTGACGCTAGACTATATAGGATTTTCAATGATTGATGGGATCTTGTTTGTTTTCTCTTCAGGTTTTACTACAGTTGGATCCGTTTCTAAATGAACTCACGAGCATGTTTGAGAAAAGCAAAGAGAAGGGTTCTGTCTGGGTCACTTTGAAAAGATGTAAGCTGACTAAATCTTATCTGGACCTTCCTTCACTTTTCTTTATCTTTTGGAAGATATCTTATTTCATTTATATTACTTGTTGTGTCAGCATCTTTGAAGTCGAAGCTGCAAAAGAGGAAACTGAGCGCAGCTGGTGAATCCATAGAGTACAGATGCCTTATTCGAGCTACTGATGCTAAGAGAACAATTTCTACTTCGGTATGTTCTAAGTAACTCATTGATCTCATTCTACAACCAACGTTTAACTATGCCATGAGTAGACCATATTAGTCAATAGATTGTCTGTTTTACTTTCTCTTGAGAATGGTTAACCATAACAGATAGCATTCTGTCTTAGCCCTCTGATCATACTCCTAAGTTCTTATAGACTAATGCTGGGGGGGGGGGGGGGGGTTAAGAAAGTGATTACCAGTCTATGGAGTATGGTCTTTAAGGTTTACACTGAAGCTAACTTATTGCAATGCCTTCTTGTTTTAAGGTTGGGGCTAAGGATCATCTGAGATTTCAAGCATCATATGCCACCATTCTTAAAGCTCACATGACTGCTTTGAAGAAGAGGGAGAGGAAAGACCGGAAGAAATCAACAGAAGCAGACAAGAAAGAAAGCACTTCAACCACCACTAAACCCAAGAAACTTTGATTTTCTCTTTTTTTTATTTTTTGTATTCTCATTTGATCTGCAATTGTTGCTTATTAATTGAATTTTGATAGATATTGACATTCAAGAACAGGATCATTTATTGAAAAAACTGAAGATAAACCTAACAAAAACCTCAATTGTGATTGTGAATCTCTTCAAGTAACATATAGTAAACAAAAGCGGAACAGACAAGGGTTTAATCGAACTGTTCATCAGTCTTTGAGTCGACATAAGCCTTGAGCACTTGCTTGTACTTGTCGGGACTGTCATACCAGGTCGGCGTGTTAATAATCGCCTTTTCTAGCCAGTACTCATCATACTCTCTCGGCTTCGACATCTTCTCCATGAATCCATTCCAACCATCCAAGGCTCTGCTCAATCGAACAGTCTTAGGTTTCCCCGTAAGAAACCTGAAGTAATCTCTTGCAAGCTTCATCAACTCCTCCCCATTGATAATGTAAGTGTACTGCCAAAAAAAAAACAGAACATTCGATCAACGCATGATACTTGTTATATTGCAAGTTTGAAGGCTGTGTGTTGTACCAAAAAGATGAAGCCTAAGGTAGCTAAAACAACTTGCAAAGTCTCATCGGCAATCCCAGCGAGACCACCGTCTTCTCCTCCTCCTGACCCTTCAGGACGCTCTCCACCATTACCTCCACCGCCTCCTCCTCCACGTGGAGGAGCATTGCCGCCACTTTCAGTATCATAAAAATCTTTCTTTTGTATTTGCTCCCGCAACATATCTTCAACTGACTTCTTCCCCATAGCTTTCTCTATTGCTTTCCATGGTGATATCTAGTGACAAAAAAAAAACATTACAACAAAATGAAACTGAAAAAAAAACATGAAACAGAACAGCAAATATATGCCACTAAAAGAAATCACTGTTCACCTACAAAGTAAAATAAAAATCATTCAAAGAGAGAAGAAGAGCAGAACTAGTTAAAAAGTAAAATCATTCAAACAGAGAAGAAAGTAACTAGTTACAAAGTAAAATCATTCAAACAGAGAAGAAGAGCAAAACTAGTTAAAAAGTATAATCATATCAGACACAGAGAGAAGAGAACATATCAAAGTGAGGAAAAATCATCTGACCTCGTCACCACCATTGGACTTATCCTTGCCACCAAACAAGCAGACAGCAGAACTCCGCTTCCATTTCCCAGTAGGCCTGTGACTTAACAGAGGCGAAAACTGAGTAGACACTGAAGCAGTTGCTCTAATTGGTACACTGGTGGAGACACCATTATCTCGACGTGTCCTCGTCACAGGAGAGTGGTAGGATGGTCGAAAACAATTAGCCTGAGTAAAGCTCATCTCTTTCCCCCAATTATTCTTCTCTTAGTTGCATTAACTGCAAGAATCAAAATTGACCTAATGCGTAAGACCAGAAGTTCGAGAACTACCAAAATACGATATTCAAATCCAAATCAGGAACTCCTACAAAAGGCACTGATTAATAGGGTAAGAACAGTGAGAATCTCGCTAGAAACCGAAATACCGAGTGAGAAACGATGATTTGTACCTTTGAAGAACCCTTAACGGGAACGAGGATTCGAGAGAAAGGGAAACAATCGCTGGAGAAGACGGAGCTGTTAAGAGCGAACGGTGAAGCGATCCCTACGTTTTTATCTATCTCTAAAGAGGCACTTTACGGTGTCGTTTTGACTTGGGTTGGTGGACCAAACCAATTCATCTGATTACCAATGAATGCTTGCAATTGAATCACCGATGTTATCGGTTTAGATAAGTTCGGTTTATACCCTTGTTTGGAAACTCGCTAGGCGCTACGCGTGCGGCTTAGTAGCGCCTAGCGCCTAATTAGTTAATCGAAAACTATACGGAAATTAATCGGGGAGTAATTTTATAGATTTTATATATGTTTTATGGCTTATATTAATAATATGTACAGTTAAACCAATAGCAATGCCTAGTGCAGTGGTAATACCCTCTCTAAACTTACTCCTCATGCGGGTTCGACCCTCAGACGACTGATTTTTCCAATTTTTAGCTTTAATGAATTGGTTAAAGACGAAAATAACCCTATCTTTAACCTAAATCTCTGCGTCTTTTTCACAGAGCACCAGCCGCCATTGTTATTTTTTTATGATTTCATTGTTTCATCTTTCTTATCTTGAAGATTTTAATCAAGATAAAACAGATCTACGAGATATATCTGATTTGGAACACAAAATCTACAAAAACCGATGATTTCTTAAGATTTCCGATTAATACTCCGATTTGGTGGTAATCGCGGAGGTGCTCCTCCATATCACGTATTTCCGGTGATTAACCGGGCGCCGTGTCCGCGTTTTTGAACAAGGGTTAATACTAACATATGCTTTCAATTTAGTTTCAAAAACATATAGTTTTATATATATATTCATTTTTTGAAAATTTTGAGTTGATTTATATATTAGGCTAAATTTAGAGAAACTATGAGTAATAACCATGGAAAAAGAACATATTAAAAATCTAACTACATAAAAATGATGGTTAGAATATCGAGTGTATAATATATATTATTTTCATTTTTGCCTTTCAAAATCTATACGCACCATTATATTTTTATTTTTAATTTTCTTCTTCTTGTTCTTCCACTATCTTTAGTTATTTCTCATTTTCTACTTCATGATTCATTTCATGTTTCTTCTCTTCTTCCAGCGTATCTTCTTTCTTTTCACCAATAATATCAATTACAGAATTTATTATTTTATTGATGATAAATTCAATTTTTTCCATTGTTATAAAATAATTCTTTTCTTCGTGATTTTCTCCATCATCGAAGATCTACCGTATAGATTGAATGTGATTTTCTCCGTCATCAGAGATCTGTGCGTAAGGATTAAATGTCAGCTGAGGAGAATGGTAACATCCGATAACTATGTCAGTTGCGGTTCAGACATGATTTTTAGATTTCATAAAAAAATAGGAAATGTCGATGTTTATATTTGTGTATTGGTTTGTATGTTGAAGGACGAAATAAAAATCGTATGAATCTTTTTGTGCTTGCTAAGACTGTACCGACGAAAGTAAATTTTAAGTTCTCTAATTCGCAAGACCATACTGCCGGCCAGCGTTCTGGTGTACCAGTTACCGGCTTTACCGCCGACGGCAAACACCACCCTTGTTTTGCTGGAGGAGATTTAAATTCTGAAGTGGGCTTTCCTAAAGTGGGTTGTGGTTTTGCTGGTTCAATTATAAGCTGTAGCCAAATAAATTTTGAAAAGCTCCATTTTGTTTTTTCTAAGTGCATGTTTGTACAGATTCAGGCCAAGAATTTCAACATTTCAATAATCAGTGGTTCTGGCTCATTACATTAATTTTTAACTGATGTTAGTGTGTACAATATACCCATATATTTCTAGAAATTATTAATTTTCTAAAAATGAATTGGTGGCATGGAATTGTCGAGGTGTAGGAGCCGAGTTGACGAAGGAACATCTTGATGAATTATATCACTGTTTTCGATCAAAATTTTTATTCTTATCAGAAACAAAAAAATAGTCGTCATATTCTGAAAAATTTGCAAGTTTCTTATGGATATGATCAAGTTTATACCGTTGAGCCGCGTGGACGAATCGGTGGTCTAGCACTTTTGTATATGGATGATCCTTCGGTTACCATTTTGTATGCAGATACACACATGATTGATATTGAAACTCGGCTTGAAGGACATGCAATTTATATGACGTTTGTGTACGGTGATCCTGTTGTTAGACATCGAGACCAAGTTTGGGAACGATTGTCACGCATGAGTACAACATGTAGTAAAGTATGGTTTATGGCTGGAGATTTTAATGAAATCACGGGAAACCATGAGAAGAGGGGAGGAAGACGTCGTTTAGAGAGTTCTTTTCTCCCTTTCCGAACCATGTTAGAAACTTGTGGAATGCTTGAATTACCATACAAAGGGAACTCATTCTCGTGAGTGGGAAAAAGATGATCCAGAAAAGTTAAATGTAAACTTGATAGAGTAGAGGCAAATGAAGAATGACATGCTTTATTTCCCATTAAGTTGTAGAATTCCTACAATTATGGGGATCGAACCACAGACAGTCCTAGCACGGATTCAATCTTGTATTAGTAGGAAAAGAAAGAATTTCAGATTCGACAAAAGATGGATCGGTAAACCGGGGTTCAAGGAAGCGGTAATCTCGCGATGGGGACAATTTGATGACATTCCAATGAGGAATTTTCATCAAAAGTTACCTCATGTCGTAACAGAATTAGTCAATGGAAGAATCAAAAACCCAACAAATTCCTGTTACACTAATTAAAGAATTAAAATATAAGATCGACTTGGCACAAGAGGATGATAATTCTACGACAGAAGAGCAGGAGGATTTACGAAGACAGTTAATTATGGCTTTTAAAGAAGAAAATACTTTTTGGGAACAAAAAAGTATGAACCAGTGGCATAACTATGGGGACATGAACACAAAATTCCACCATGCCACCCCAAAACAACGACGAACCCAAAATCGAATCACCAGTATTAAAGATAAGCATGGAAAGTTGGTAGAGAGTGAAATCGAGGTAAAGAACGTGGCTGTTCAATATTTTCGTGATCTCTTCTCTACTTCTTTGCCAACAGAGATAGATAGTTCCCTCCGTTTTATTTCAGAAAAGGTGTCCCAAGCCGACAATAGGTTACTCTTAGAGAAACCGTCAGAACATGAAATTAGGAAAGCTCTTTTCGAGATTAACCCGGACAAAGCACCGGGACCGGATGGCATGACTAGTAAATCATTTCAGAGATTCTGGTGGGAGATGCGCCAAGACATTATCAGATTTGTACAAGATTTCTTCGAGAATTTCCATGCAATGTTAGCTATAAGATTATATCTAAGCTATTATGCAAGAGACTAAAGAGGGTCATACCACGCTTAATCTCAGAGACACAATCAGCTTTTGTGGAAAAACGTTTGATTATTGATAACATTTTGATAGCACAAGAAAATTTCCTTGCATTACGAACGAATAACGGATGTAGGGAAGATTTTATGGCTATTAAAACAAACATGAGCAAAGCTTACGATAGAGTGGAATGAATTTTCATATCATCTTTGATGCTGAAGATGAGATTTGATGAAAGACTGGTTGACCTCATTATGTGTTGTGTCACGTCGGTCTCATATCAAGTCCTTGTCAATGGGCAACCGAGAGGGCGAATTTTACCAAAGAGGGGGTTGAGGCAGGGAGACCCCCTCTCCCCCTTTTTTCATTTTGTGCACGGAAGCTTTGATATCATTCCTTAACGGAGCAGAAGCGGATAAGAAGATTGTGGGTCTTCGCGTTGCCCAGGCGAGCGCAAGGATCTCCCATCTCCTCTTTGTTGATGATACCCTTTTCTTTTGCGAGGCAAAAGTAAGCCAGTGCAAGGAGATTATAGATATTACAGACATCTATGGGAAAGCATCAGGACAAAAACTCAATACGGTGAAATCTTCGATGTTCTTTGGAAATAGAATGGACTACCCTCGAAAACAAGAGATAAAAAAGAAGTATTGGGTTTTACTACTGAAGAAGGCATGTGAATGTACTTTGGATTATCTAAACAAATTTGTGGCTCGAAAACCAAAGTATTCTCCTAAGTACAAGATCGGCTTAATGGGCGAGTATATAATTGGTCATCAAGACTACTCTCGAAAAGAGGAAAAGAAGTTCAGATTAAAATGGTGGCTCAAGCAGTTCCGACATACCCAATATCATGTTATTTGATTCTACAAGACATTACTGATAAACGAAGGAGTACCTATCCCTTCTTTCCAAAACAATCCCACATGCATATATTATTAATAATAGAGGAGTACGTATCCCTTCTTTCCAAAACAATCCCACATGCATATATTAATAATAGGGAGTAGGGACCTGTTTGATAAAAATATAATTGGATACACAGATATAGGGCCGCTTACTCTTTAAACTGTAGATGCACCAAGCCTCGACGACTTGCTTTGTCCACTCCCTCAAGAACCGGCCGTTGATGAAATGCATGTGTCCAACTACGTCAACCACTACCGTTGAAGAAATTAATCCTGAAAGGAAGCCTTGACAGAGATACAAAAGTTAAGTTAATATAAAATATAAATCTAACCGTAGAGCCACCTTTTATATATATGATAAAATAAATTTAGTTTTGTCATAAGAAATTCTCCATTCTAAAAACTATTATATATAATAAATAAAGGCAATTTAATATTTAACCTATTGCAACAATATTTTTGTATTTAATTCATTAAAGTGAATGTAGAGAAAATTTGTAGAAAAAAATCTGTTTGAGATTTTTTATTTCATTTTAAAGATATCTTACATTTTCCTTATTTATAACCAATCGATAAATATTTTAATTAAAATGCAATATTACTGTTGTTAAAAAAGTAAAGGACATATTTTTTTTTACTAAAGATATTAGTGTTAAAATATTAAATCATTCCTTTTTACTAATTTGGTCTAAACTAAAAAATAAAAAATCATTTACTTACCGGGATAGGAAAAACTAAAAAGTGAAGGTTGAAGAAAATGTAAAAGTGTTGCCAAAAAAAAAAAAAGAAGAAAAAGTAAACGTGTTTGAAGTATAAATGCAAAAAGTTTGAGAATCTAGATAAAAAAATAGGGAACTGGGAAGTCGTTCCGAAAGTAAAAGAGGAACTGGAAAGATAATTAGGGGACGAAAAAGAATGGGAGAAGAAGAAAAAACCCTAAATCCGATCTACAGAGTTCCGGAAGAGTTAGAGGAAGAGATTTTGCTTCGAATGCCACTGAAGTCCATCCTCAGATTCAAAACCGTCTCAAAAAGATGGAGATCAATCCTGGAATCGAGGAGCTTCGCGGAGAGGCGTATGAAAGCTGCGAATAAGAACCCAAAAATCCTGGCTGTTGGAGACCAGTCGCGATTCAAATTGGACGCAGGGGAGATAGATGTGGTCTGTTTAGGCGGTGAGGCCGCAAAAAGGCCCTCGCTGACTTGTGAAGGTTTGGTTTGCATCCCCGTTCCAGGTTGCGTCAATATTTTGAACCCTTCCACAGAAGAATACATCAGTTTCCCTACGGGTACTGATCCCGTCACCACGCGCTTTGATTACATATTTTTTACAGCCTCATGGTGGAATATTTTCCCTGGATGTTGCGCGATGGGATTTGGTAAGGATGAAGTTAATGGCGATTATAAAGTAGTGAGGATGTTTTTCGATCCTATTTTTCATTGTGAGATTCTTAATGTGAGCATTGGAGAATGGAAGCTAATAAAACCGCCTCCTTATCGCGTGGATCCAAGACGAAAGTCTGTGTATCTCAATGGATCCATCTACTGGTTAGAGATGCTAGATATTGATAGCATACTAGCTTTGGACCTTCATACAGAAGAGTTCCGTGATGTCCCAGTTCCGCCAGAATCCACAGACTTAGATCAAATAGTGAACCTTGAAAACCGTCTAGCCATAGCCATACCTGGTACTGAACCTGATTGGACATTAGTGCTATGGACCCTAGATGCACAAGAAAAGACATGGACCTTGACTTACACCATACGTTTACGCCTTTACGACCGCGAACCTTATAAGGTGTGGTTTAGGCCCGTGGCGGTATGTAAGGAAGGGAATTTGCTCTTCTGTGATAATAAGAAGAGGTTGTTCAAGTACTATCCGAAGACAAACAGTCTCTCTTGCATCTCGTCAGACATTTGTGTTATATCTGATTTCGCTGAAAACTTGGTTTCGCTTCGCCCGTCTTCTCTTGCAAGAAAATCGGACTACTTATCTGGATATCACTATGAATACGATGATGTGCAGGATAATGTGCAGGGTTCGCAGCTGATAGAAAAGTTTAGATGGATCAAAAAGAGAATCCCAAGTATTTTGATTACCACTACTGTAGTGTCTGCAGTAATTTTCCGCTATTTTTCTGTTTCGAGTGCCTCTCGACCTTAGTATTTATTATTTTTTTCTTTTCTATCAACTCGGTGAATTGACAGACCTGTTTTATATATTCATATATACTAAGGCCGGTGCGCGTATGCTATAAAGAGTTTTTTTTTTTTTTGCTATTTGCTTATGGTTTTATGTTATTTTACCATTCAGTTGTGGTTGACTTTGATTAGATTCACGTTTGTATCAGTTAAAAGTTTCAGTTTTGTTGGAATATATCTGAGCATTCAAGTCTTTCTCTTTGCACTTATAATAAACCCAGTTCTCATCTCTGTATTAAATTCTCACATGGTTCACAACTAGGCTTAAGCTTTGTTTAAGAATAATTTGCTCTTCTCTAGACAGTTCAGAATCTTAACGCGTATGTTAAAGCTGCATACAACTCAAGGTGTATGTTTGCCAGAATCCTAGTCTTGTTTTGGCACTTAAAAGATCAACTTTTAATCTATGCAGTATACTTCTACAAGAAATCTGAACTTACCATGCTTTTCCTGATCTATGAAGATAAAAGAGTGTTAACAAGTAGGCTTAAGCTTTGTTCTGGAAGATTTGTAAGAACCATTTTCTTTAGAATCTTAATTGGAGTAAGATAGGTCTCCATATACAGTTCAGGTCAAGGTATATGTTTTGCCAAGAATAAGACATTGAATCGCCATGTCTTTGGTCGAAAACTGTATTGGTCCGTCAAGGCTGCAAACTGAAAGATACAACAACAAAAAAAAAAAAGGAACGACTCAAACAACATGAGGTATACAATGAACTTATTGACCTACTGGATTTGTTAAGTTTGTAAATTCATGTGTCATTCCTTGCCAGACGATCTTTCCCTCATACATAAACAATAACCTCAATTGAAGGAAACACAACTTTTCAATGATGTAAAAAAAAGCTGCAAACATGTAGTGTTTAGATAATAGGGATTATAAAATCAGAACCTGTCTCCAGCTCTTTGAATGATGATATGTTTGATAAGTAACAACCACATAAGAGGAGATTTTCCAGGTTTTCCAAGTTCATCCTCCTCGCCCTTCAGGTGAACCGACCATATAAGATCTTCTTTAACTACAGTTAATGCAATCGGATCAAGTCCAGCAGGTCGCTCATCGTACAAGATCACCTACCAAAACTGCCCTTGGAGAACATTAAAACCCATAGATTAATTCCTAATTTGATCAAAAACTGAGTCGTGCTTCTAAAGAAAGTGAGACATTCATGAATTTGATAAGATCTTCACATTACGTACCTCTGGCTCTATGACCTCTTTTGTTGTATTAAAGATGAGTCACCGAGCTAAAACAACCCTAATTATCTTCATCCCACCAGATAGATAGCTCAGAAGGTAATGATTCTCAACCCCCTGCTCTTATTCAGACAAAAATAATAAAAGCTATAATAAGCTCAGATATTGAACCGGGTGTAAAACAACTCAGAAACAGAGCAAAATAGAGGTGAAGAGAAATGCTTTCATATTGATAATCATAAAACTCTCTTGTCTTTGCACTAAGAGAAAACGTTGTCATAACAACTAAGAAATTAGTACTACAAAAGTGTAGTCATAATTTTACATCGAGGTTACGAACCTTTAGAAAAAATTATCGTAAATATACGTAACTTTGCTACGAATATAATTCTTTGTCAGAGAGATGTAATTTAATGACTAGATTACGCCTACACGTACAAGTGGTCGTAAATTAGAGGTAATGTTACGACTATATTACATTGATTATTTTGCATCTAGTTAACAACAAACTTATGAGTTGTAGTTGTTAATTCGTTGTAAAAGTTCCTCACCCACTGCTCTTGAAATTTACTTATAAATATGCTCTCCTCTCTCATTATTTAGATGTACAAAAAAATGGAAAAATACTTAAAAAAAAAGTCTCGACTTATCTATGAACTTTGGAGTTGGATGCATGTACATAAAGATTCTGCAGGAAGAGTGACAAATTAATTTCTCAACGGGGAAGAGATATTCACGTATTAGGCTGGAAACACTGGTAAAATATTCCTCCCCTATCGTAAGTGCAAGAATACCAAATTTGTTTTTAGTGAAACAGTATGGAAACATATGGTCAATAAAGAAGTTTCCCTATATTACTACATTTTGTTTCATCATGGAGAAGGTGATAGTAAGAATGAAGCTAGTAGTAGTAATCAGGTTGAAAATGTTCGTAATAGAAGGCAAACCGGTCCAGTTGTCCAACCTCGAACAAGACAATTTTTGAGCAGGTATAACTTTTAAATATATATGTTCTTATACATTTTAATCTCTTAGTTACATATATATGTACTAATATATATATATATATATATATATATATATATATATATATATATATTCATTTCGTTGATTGAATATTTTTCTGAAGAAAAAGGGGACGCATAGTGGGGCACGGTACGGTGAACGATGTCCCGAGGGCGAGAGCTGAATACACTACAAGAAGAAATAAAGATTCTCAGCTCTGGAAAAGTGTGCGGAGAACATGAGCCAGATTAGGGCCATGGCTATCGATATTATTGCAAAGACAAACTCGGCTCTTGCAGAGATGTGGCGGACACTATGTCTAACCATTAACTGCAACCCAACTCCAGAAGAGCAGGCGGATATGGAGAGACAATCTGAGCAGCGTAGTTCCCAGCTGTTCGAGGACATCACCCGTAATAATTAGATTTTTTATGATTTTTTATTTTCTTATATTTTGGATATATTAGATTATATTTTTGATATCTGAAATTTTTCTTTGAAAATTTTGATATTCAAGAAAAAAAATTAAATTTTAAACTTTATAAATTTAACTTAAAGTTAGATATATATTTTGTCTATATTATATATTCAATATAAATGAGTCGTAAAACCTACGACCAATTAACATCGACTCTCGATGTAACGTGGTCTTAACTTTTATGACTCATTTACGTTAATGATGATGTTAAATCCTTGTAATATTTACAACCGGTTAGCCTGTTATTAACAACGTAATTTATGACGTCTTAATGACGGGGTATTACGACCATTGTACGACTAATGAATAGGACGTAAGATTACGTCTCCTTTACGACGACGTTACGATTATTGGCAGTCACTGTAATTTTACGACGAATTTAAGACTATTTGTTCATTACGATGAACTCCTAACGATGAAACGTTTATCGTCGTTTGTTCTTCATAATAGGTGAATTACGACGAACAAGCGACCTATCCTTTAGTCGTAATGGCCATGTTTTCTTGTAGTGTTGGCTTACAAAAGCATTTGTAATTATACACAAGTCATGGAAACCCTATTTTTTACAAAGCCCTAAAGCATGAAATATAGATGGCAACATCTCACACTTCTGTGAGAACCTCGAGATCACTCATTAATCGGCTTAACCCGAGATTTTTTTTCTCTGGGTCAAATAACCCGACATTTATACTTTCTAGTCATTAACTAGGCTTTGGCATTCGGATACCCTTTCGGGTTGGGGTCAGATAATTCGGGTATCTGGTTATTCGGATTTTGAAAAATTGACCCTTTCAGATATTATTAAAACTCGGGTCGAGTTTGAGTTGGATCCTCTCGGATCTGGGTGGATATGGATATTTAAAAATCCAAAATTACCGGTTACCCATTATAAAAGGATTGGATCCGGGTAAAAATATAAAAACTAACCAAATTTTCTTATTTTTTATCCGAATATTCAAAGTTATATGAATAAAAAGTAACTAAAACACCTTGAAAATGAATAACATGGGTTGAAAATGAAGAACATGAGTAAACATGTTAATATAAAGCCGAGATTACGAAATAAAAAACAAACAACATTTTGTTTCCGATAACATAAATTGAAATCAACAACATTCAGAGAAAATGTGTCCAACAATTACACAAAACAAACAAAGAAGCATATAACTAATGTCTCAGACCAAATATAAAACAATGAGCCTTCACCAATCAAACTTCAGAAGAAGAAAATTCACCATCCAAACTTCAGCAGAAAAAACTTCACCATACCCCGAAACTATCCTTCAACAAAGTAAACAAACTTATATTAGCAAAAAAGCAATGATCGACTTCAAGTTCAAACCAGAAAGTCAGAAACTATCTTAAGAAGTTTACCTTGAAACCAAAGAACTTAACATAGAGACCACACACTTTCTTAGTCTTCATTCAAGCTCAGATTATCATACTCTGACATAAATTAATATAACTAATAGACAGATAAAAAAAATTATACATATAAGATTAAAAGAAAAACTACCTCTCTTAAGCTTGTCTTCATATTCAAAGTCGCTGAGAATCTGTTCCATTGTCACCAGCCTTGCATCACCACAACAAATGTATGCCTTTAGCCATTGCTCTGAGCACATCAAAACTTCGACCATGTAATGAGTAAGATAGCTCCTATATGTATCAATGATATGACCAGGAGTGCTAAAAGCACTCTCAAAAGCAACTGATAAGAACTTTCGTAAGATAGTAAATCAAAAAAGACTTCAACTCTCTTTCTTTAAACTCATAATGTAGTGAATGGAATCCTGGAAAACAAAATTTAACACTACCAATGAAATATGTTAATAAACTCGGTATACATATTATTCATTTATAAAATAAAGGTTTTCTCAAAAATATTAAACTTACATGGATTGGAAGTAATGTATTTCAGGAATTTCAGGATCAAATAAAATATCCAAACAGCCTTCAATGTTTATAATATGCCTGAAGCGACCTATAAAACGCAACAACTCAGTTCAGCTAAGAAACAATAAATATTAGTTTTCATATTATTAATCTAAATTATTAAAACTTACCATTACCCCCACTCAATTCTCCATAGCTTTAGCACACAAACAACAACATTTGCAGTCGTAGAAGACCAGTATTCACATAACTTCTCAGCAACAGATTCATAAGCTACACACTTAACTTGCGTGAAACTGAAAAAAAATTAACTGTTAAGTTATCTAATCTGAATTGCTGTATACAGTAAGTTATCACCCTATATAAATGTACACGACATTAATGTTAAATAAAAAATGTATATGGAGATAACCAAACATATAGACACACGATCAAATGGATTTTTATAAAAATCTTACGTTAGCATCA